AAACTGCACGCTGTATTACTTACCTCTGTGCATTAGAATGGAACAGTGATACAAATATTGTTTCGCAAAGAAAAGGTTTTATTAAATAATGATGCATTTAAGTAGTTGAAGAATCAGATAAAATATTAATGATCGTAGCGTGTATTCGAACGTTGATTAATTTCAGCAGACTGTAATCTTGATTAATCGTTACATAAACGAAGCACAATAACACGAAAATTGATTGAATGATCCTGAGCATTTATGCAATTCGAAGAATGTGATTTCTCTATTCAAAGCTTTATTTTTGATTTGATATTCATTTTCTTTTATTTATTAATACTTTAAACCAGATGATTTCTTTGGGAAATACAGGATTGTTACATGTACATATGTTCGATACTGTTTATTATTAGTTCCTAAATTCTTACTGAAGATTGCTTAAGAAAATTGTAAATTATTCATTTTTATTTCAATATTTAAAATCCAAAGCCTATCCATAAATATTCGTAAAAATTCGAAGTCACGTTATATTATACTTCGAGAATATCAGTTCTGGATTTGCATGATCCTCGTTCGGTAGGAAATTCAACTTCGGATTACGTTCATTGTTTCTTATAATACCAATCTAAAGTGGTTTAATTAAATCGCTAAAGCAGTAGATTGGATGGCATTACTGCAATCTGGTATCTTAATAACTTCTTAATTTTAATGATGATAGAGCAATTGTCCCTTTAGCTTCCAAGGCTTCTTAAAGAAGATAGTTATGCATAATACCGAAACATCCGCTTCTGATCTTCAAATTATTTAAAATTTATTCATAGAAGAATATCATTTTTTAAATTGTATCGTCTATCACCGGTGACCGACATAGAACTTAACCTGTTAAGGGGGAGATATCATCCTAACGATTAAAAAAAACAATATCCTTTTCTTGATTTGATTCAATTTGAAGTGTGCAGAAATCGGTTTTTTACGATTTTTTTATATGTCAATTATTTAATGTCTTATAATGATTTGTAGTTAATTTTTTAATATAAAAACAGCTGGTTCTTCTTCTGACTGCAGCCATTTCTACAACTAAATTGACAAATTTTATATCAGAAATTAAACAAATTAATTTTCGTATTTTGTAGATCTTAAGAAGTTAAAAAAATTGCAGATCAAATTTTATTCAAAAAATTCAATATCGTTAATTGAATAATACTGTTTTTAAATGTAATTAAAATAATTGTAAGGGCACAGTAACCAGGGGTGGCACAGCAATTGACACACGTACCCTAATCAATGCAGAACCTACAAGGGAACAGGATCGAGCCTTCACGAATAAAGAAAATCGATCGCCTGATTATCACAATTTAGCAATAAAAGTTCAGCGCGGCATAAAATCAAGCGAATCGTTTCTACACGGCCGACGACACGGCCACGATCGATCAGACCACGTACGGATAAATTTCAATTACACCTTTCCGAATGCAAGAGCCACTCCGCGAAAACAATTCCGAACACCATTACAGCAACCGGCGAGCGTACCCGATAACCCCTTTCCTATTAATACAAGCGTTTCTGGGGCTCCAGCGATGGTGCCGCTTCTGTGACTTCACGAGATTTGGAATATTCGAAGGAAAATGCAAATATCGCGCGGCGAAGTTTTGGCCAAGGAGATAGAAGACGCGTACGCGCTCCGCCTACACGTGCCATTCTCCACCCTCCCGCACCCCAGGCATCCGGCTTGTTTGTATTCCGTATTCGAGCTGTCTATAGGGAAATTGCGGTGGCTCCCCGGCCTCGAAATCTATGAACACGTCTCTGACCTGTGATCGTTCTCGTTCCCTCCTTGCACCGTGCTGTCTCATTAGCCGCCTCGGTCTGACCGAAGGACCCTGCGCTTTCGCTAGCTAACAGGCTCAGCCTGCGCGCGCGCGCGGTTTTCCACTAAATTGCACGCTAAATTGAACCTGTCCCGTTGAAAATGTTCTACCGATTAAGGCAAAAGTACCTACCACTATGGAACGCTTTTCACGTGCTATGGAATCGTCATCTCATTTCTATTGAATCTGAAAAGTGTTATTGCTGAATATTTATGCTACCGTTCGACAGAGTCGTTTGCATTATCGTGCATAAATATTTGGACACTTGCACATTATTGTAAAGACGCGAGTTACAATACTAGTACAGCCCGCAATTACGAATTTTTATAAACAATAGTACTAATGAAATAGTAAAGTACAATCGTGTACCTATTATGGAACACGGTTGTGTTGTCCCCGTGTTTCATAAAACGAGACAATGAAGAAATTGAAGTACACAATATGGAACACTATGTTCTTGCTTAAAGATGCCTGTATTCGAATAAACGTTTTTGTTTACAGCTGATTGTTACATAATAGGGATTTTGCAGTAATAATAATGAAAAACAGAATTACGTGTCGCTTCGTAATTATTACTGTATAATATATTCTTGCGGTTAGATAACGTAACGTGTTCTACATTAACTATATCGTGAATGTAGAATATGATTGGCTTTTAATTATTGAAAGCGTTTGGAGCAATTGTTTAAGTATTCAAAGGATTTAAATAAATAAATTATGGATTGATATTATTAAATATCGTTCGATTAAACAATAATTAATAATATCAATTTATAGTGTAGATTCACAGAAAATTCCTATTTTCTACATACAATTAAATGGTATTTTTTAGTAAAAGCATCGTTTTTATAATTTTTTTTAACACTTCTGTATTCTGTACTTCGGTTG